AAGCATCTATTAAGCTCTTGCCACATCCCAAGCACTGTGTTAAGCACTAAGGATAAGGGAAAAAAATGTAAGTTATTCCTGCCCTCAAGGAACTTGCACTTTAATGGGGAGAACAATGATACATAGGAGATAAACACACACACACATATGTGTGTATATGTATAAGTATTATATACATGCTTATAGACATACACATGCAGATATACATATATACACATATGGTAAATGGAAGGTAATCTCAGAATTCATCATAGATAAAAGTTACTCTAGACATGAGTATCAAAGAATGGATTAATAGGCGGACACATCAAAAGTTGACCCAACCTTTGGCATTTGGTAAAGCTGCTCTATTGTTGTTGTTCAGTGTTTCTACACCTCTGACTCTTCGTGACTCCATTTGGGGTTTTCTTGGCGAAGATACTGGAGTGGTTTGCCATTTCCTTCTCTAGATCATTTTACAGATGAGGAAACTGAGGCAAACAGGATTAAGTGACTTGTCCAGGGTCACAGAACTAGTAAATGTCTCATAACAGATCTGAACTCACAAAGAGGAGTCTTCTTGACTACAGGCCTGGCACTTTACCCATTACATCACCTGGCTGCCCCTAAAGTTGCTTAAAGGGAGTAATTTCTTTCTTTCTTTCTTTCTTTCTTTTCTTTCTTTCTTTCTTTCTTTCTTTCTTTCTTCCTCCAATTCATTCCAATTCAGCAAATACTTGTTTTTAAATTTTAATTTATTTTTTAATGAACAAGAATTTCTCTTTCTTAAAAAGAAAAAAAATAGAACTCTTATTACAAATATGTACACTCTTTCAAAACATTGGACATTTCTAGAGATTGTGTGTCTCATTCTGTCCATCACCTCTCTATCAGGAGGTAGATAGGAGGCTTCACCATAGGTTCTCTGGAATTATGGTTAGCTATTTTAGCAAATGATTATTATGATATATGTATGTATACATATGTATATACATACACATATTTACATACACATATACATATATTTGTGTGTGTATGTGTATGTGTGTATTTGTGTTAGGTCCCAGAGGAAATACAAAGATTAAATAAAATGGTACACCTGCCCTGGGCAGCTAGGTGGTGCAGTGGATGGTGTGCTGGGCCTGGAGTCAGGAAGACTCATCTTCCTGAGTTCAAATCTGGCTTCAGACACTTACTAGCTGTGTGACCCGGGGCAAGTCACCTAACCCTATTTGCCTTAGTTTTTCATCTGTGAAATGAGCTGGAGAAGGAAATGGCAAACCACTCCAATATCTTTGCCAACAAAACCCCCAAGTAGGGTCATGAAGAGTTGGACACAACTGACCAATGACAGCAGTACAGTAAGCCCTAGAGACATCAAGAACCATCCTCACCCTCATCCCCTAGTACCTGCTTTCAAGAATGTTACAGTCCTGTGGGGCACAAGGGATAGAACATAAACACAACTGAGCAAACACAAATCATCCAACAGAATGAGAGGTAGCCTGGCAAGAATCAGGAAGAGCTGATTTCAGGGTTCCTTCTCTGATCCGCACTAGCTGTTAGATGGGCTAGTCATTTAAATGTTTAGTGCCCCTGGCAACTCTAGAAGAAATTGCAAAAGAAAAATTGCATATTTGCCTAGGTTGAGGGAGTTTCCTTTCTGGAAGTCCCCATACACTAAGGTTATCACGGGTCCGAAAACAAGGACAAAACCAAAGGGCATACAGAGCAATGCACGGTAATTTCAGAAGGGAGAGTGCTGATAACTTGAGGGATGGGAAAAAGCCTCCCTTGGTGTTGCCTGAGATAGCCTTTGCTGGAAGCTTAGGAGTCCAGAGAGGCAGAGGGGAGAAGCGAATGCATTCCCCTACACAGGGGACCTTGAACAAAAGGGTTAAGATATAAGGAACAGCTAACTGGCTAGTTTGAGAGAGTGTTCTCTCTATCCTATCTCTTCTCTCTCTCTCTCTCTCTCTCTCTCTCTCTCTCTCTCTCTCTGTCTTTCTCTCTCTTAAGAAAAACTACTCCCACGTTGTGGTTGTGTTGCTTTTAGAAACAGACTTGTCTGCCTTCTATTTCATAAAAGTATCATAGTTTTCCAGTGAGTTGCTTAGCTTATTCCAGATGAGTAGACTGCTGACAATGTTATAAAATATGGTAGGTATGTACTTTGAAGTTTCCAGTACAGACTATTGAAAATGGAGCAATGTGAACTCTTTCTCATGACGCAATCCCGTGCTGATTCACTGGCACGTCTTAAGATTTAGGACATGCACCACTGTTTTTTTTTTCTAAATCTTATAATGTCTACTATAGTAAAAAAAATATATCTCCGAGGAAGTGAGCATATTTTCTAGCAGCACAAGAACTGGGGGCGTAAGGGGCTGAGGATTCAACAGAAGAAGAATTTGTGATGACTCAAGCCAGATCCCTAGTATAATTGCAATGTTATTTCTTCATCAGATTTTGGGGAGTAGAATTTTCTGACTCACTTAGACTTTTTTTTTTTTTTGCAATTTTACCTAGACTCATTTGATCCTAGTGTTGGAAGGAAGCGGGGGTGGGAGGAGAGAGATCCAGTTCAACTCTTCAACCGTTTGTTTACTGACTTCCTAATTTTTTTCAAAGAAGGAAATGGCAAACCACTCCAGTATCTTTGACAAGAACACTCCAAATAGGGTCACAAAGAGTCAGACACAACTGAAACAACTGAACGTCATCATCATCATCATCATCATCATCAGTGTTTTTTTGTGGACGGAAGGAGAAGTGAATGCTGGGAAAAAATTTCTCTAAGTGGATTACAGTATATCTATGAAGTGATATTTCTTTGCACAAACCAAACCAAACACATGCTAGTAGTCATTACTTATATGCAAGATGAACCTTGAATTGTATATCCGCATAGAAAAGTCTGCTAAATAAGAGTCTACTCAATAAAGTGTCTATATCATATGTATATAGCACAGTGGAAAGAGTGCTGGACTTGTGGTCAAAAGACTTTCAGTCCTGGTGCTAATTAATTGAATGACCTTGGGCAAAGTACTTTTGCTTCCTTCTTTTAGTTTCCTCACCTATGAAGTAGCAATTATACTGAACCTCTCACTTCCATAGTTTTCCTTGTAAACCTTAAAGTGCCATAAAATATAAGTTCTTTGAGGACAGGTACCCCTTTATTTTTGTCTTTATAGTTCCATCACTAGCACAGTTCTGACACATAGTAGGAGCTTAATAAATGTTTATTGGCTGGTTAATATTAAAGTGAGTTGTTTTATATACCATTGCCCTTAACGCTATGATTAACCTGGACAGAATGTGAATTTTATTGCAACCTACAGGGGAAGGGGGACTGGAATACAGTGGCAAGAGGGGATGGAGAAATCAGAATAGCAACCGGGTGGGTGGTAGGGGTGCATCTGGAGCTTTGTCATAGGTGGCAGTATCTGAGAAGGTGATAGTTTTTTCCTGCTTTTGGTTTTTTCCTGTACTTTGCCTCTCAACGTTCTCTATTGGTTCTTGTAAGAGGAAAGGGGGAAGGCGGCCCTGGGAGAGCTCAAGGGAACAGGGTCACTTGCTAAGGTGCTAAGCTGGCTCCTCCCTTAATTTTGACTTCACCCAAGATAAGGCTTTCTCCTTGCCTTCCTTGAATTTTTCTTTTTTTTTTTTTTACTTAGTTGAAAGCTTTATTTGTAAAAAAAAAGTTTTATTTTAAACTTAAGTACAAAATAAAAAGAAGAAACAAATTTAAGTACTAAAACTAAAATAATATAAAGTAAGAAAAGGAAAAAAAAGCATTTCCATGTGTACAGCAGAATGTGAGAGAGGATTCAGAATATACAGTGATAAATTTCCATTTTAAGAAAGCCTATATAATAAATACTACTTGTTGTATTGAGAGCTGTCCATCTTTTCTTTGTTTCCTTGTAAGTTTTCTTTTGTTCTCTGCAGTGCACTTTTTACTTTGTTCTTTTTTCCCCCTTCCTCCCTCCCCTAGGCCAAAAATATATATATATATATATATATATATATATATATATATATATATATATATATATAATGTGTGTGTATGTTTATATGTGTATATATATATGTATGTGTATGTGTATATATGTATATATATTTTTTTCCACTGAATTTCAAAGACTTTTCCTCCCTACCTTCTCTCCCCAAACTCTGATCCTTATCCTGACAAACTCTAGTCCTCACTAATCCCTATCCTATGCTACTGTTCCAAGCCCCTCCTCTATTCTTAAATTCCCCTCCATCCTTCATTTCTCCCTCTCAGAGTCGAACTTCTGGTGCTCCTTGAAAGACAGCATTTTCCTGGAAACATTTCATCTTTTGGCATCCTCTTCAATTCCAACTGCTCCTTTTCTCACATCCCCTCATATGTAGGCCTAGGAAGAGAAGTTGGCCAACTTTCTCTAGTCACTTTCAGAACCTTCCCCTGCCACCATGACCCAGTATCAACTCTCTAGTAAGGTTCACTCCATCCTAACCTGATCTTTGTTGTTATTTTTGCCTTTTTTTTTTTTGTCTTTTCAGTGCTTTGCATGGGATTGGGCAGATAATAAGTGCTTAACAAATGGTTGCTGACTGTTGAACTATCTCTAGAGACTTTAGGTTCATTTTTTTCTTTTCTGCAATAAGTTCAGGACTTACGTCACAGTCTTCATCCAAATTTCTGCTTCTTTTGAACACCCATACCTAGTTCCTCAACCTCCCTAACTCTCATAACCTTTGCCTCCAGTCTTTTTCAACCATTCAAAGACTGATTATACCTTAGATCAGAGATTCTTATACTGGGATCTGAAAGCTTTTAAAAAAATATTATTTTTATAATTATATTTCAATAGAATTGGTTTCCTTTGTAGTACTTTTTATTTTATGCCCTCATAAATATTACTCTAAAAAGGGGTCCCTAGGCTTCATTAGACTATAGAAGGGATTTATGAAACAAAAAAGTTAAGAACTCCCCTACCTTGGATAAAACCTGCCCTCTAATCCTCTATTTTCAGATTGAATTTGCCTCAGGAGGCAGAATCCTAAACTATAGCTCCGGGGGAGTAAGACACATTATCCAGAAGAACACCCGAGTCATCAAAGAAAATTTCTACACATTTTGAAAACTAAGGTAATATAGGAAGGTCCCATACAGAACTGTAATATAGACATGATTTGAGAGGATAATTCAAATGGATTTTCAAAATTCCAGCTACCATTTTTTACCCTGCTCTTAAGACCCAGTTCATTTCTAAGAAAAGCAGCAAGCCATTTAACAAATCATATTATTGACAAGCAAATGCTGATGTTAGCAAGAAGTCTCTCTTGGTGGTGCTTATTTGTTTGATTCTAAAAAATTTTTAGCAGTTATGAGATGACTAATAAAGACTTTTGAAAATGTCAGTTTATATGAGCTGCAAACCCACTCATCCTTGCCAAGTACAACGTGTTGCTGCTATCTGGGTGCGTCTTATAGTGAGCAAAAAAGAATGGTTGTCTGAATATAAGAAGATCGTATCATCTATGAAGGTAAAGAAGGAATTGTAATTTGAATTAGTGCAGGGAATTCCCACTCATGAAATAGTAGATTTTCTAAAGTATTGAAGCATGCATTTGTATGTGCATACATGTACACATATATACACATACACAAGTATCTACAAGTTTTCTATACCAATAAAATCACAAATCTAGACCCTATTCCTTATCTATAGCTGTGTACTTGCATCTGCATCTGTATTTTTATTTATTTGTTTGTTGGACAGGGGATTCCACTCATATAGGGAGGTGATGGTGAGGTGTTTTCCTCCTCTACGAATGCATGCCAACATCTTCTCTGTAACTCAGTCTTAGAAAGCTGCTTGAAGGCATTGATACATTAAGTGACTTATCCAGGGTCACACAACAAATATGTCACAAGTAGGACTCTATATTGATTACTGTATTCTGCCTTTATGATAAATGTACATGTTGATGAGTTATTTAAATTTTAAAAATTATTTGCAAGATGAATTTATTTTGATTTTTTAAAACTTGTCTGATCCTGTTATTTTATCAGTATAAGGAACTCGAACACAGAAACTTCCTCTACTGAGGTTAATTTGTTAACTTGTCTAATTTATACTCTTAGAGAGTTTCCTGGAGCAGCAAGAGGTTAAGTTGACTCTCCCAGGTTGGTACAGTGGTGTTCTAGGACTAGAACTCAGGCCTTCCTGCCTCTGAGACCATCTTTTTATCGATTAATCCAGACCGTCTCTCTAGATTGATTTAAGCCATAATAAAATAGTTATCTGTAGAGATAGGAAGTCTTGGCTGCCAAACATTAATCTTAGACCTGAATAACAAATACCCGCCTCTGCTTAGAGAAATTGTTGTGCCATGATTAATATCCATGCAAGTCTGGACCTTGGTTCCTAAGATTTCATTTGCAGGATAATTGTCCCTTAAATTATAGAGCGAAATTATAAAGGAAGGTAAACTGTAGTAATGGATTTCTCTGACTGCAGGATAAAATAGGTGAGTTGAAGTAGATGAGATCTAAATAGTTGCTTCCATAGAGTTTTGTTGTTAGATTATATTAATTCTCCCCTCCAGATACAATGAAACAACCAAAATTAATCAAGTTTGATGACTAATCTGTTTTTTCCAGTCTCCTCTTATCATATCCCTTAAGTGCTAAGCATTTCTTCTTTTTCTTTTTTCTCTTCTCTTCTCTAGAAGCCATGTCTGCTGTTCACTTTTCTGCTCTCTGCTCTGCCCTCAACTCTCTCCTAATCTTTCCACAAAGGTACAAGTCTACAAATCTGTTGCCTCTCTTTTATAGACCCAGCTCAAAGGGATGACTCCCTGAAACAACAAAATCATTGCAAATGGAATTTATCCAAAGACAGTTTCATCTAGAATCGCATCTTCTGTTCTCTCAAGCAAGTGTCAAGACTTTCGTTGCGATATGCATCTTCTTATAACCTCCTCAAGTTTGTAAGATAGTCAGTCAATAAACATTTATTAAGTTTCGGGCATGATATTAAGTTCAATGGATACAAAGAAAGGCGAAAGACAGTCTTTGCCTTCAAGGGGCAAATTTTTAATAATCATAGTATCATATATTTAGAACTGGAAGGGACCTATGAGGACTTTGAGTCTGCCCCTTCATTTTACAGATGGGAAAACTGAGACACAGAGTCTTAATTATTCATGTAGTTAATAAGTATCTGAAGGGGGATTTGAACCCAGATCTTCCTGATTCCAAGTTCACTGTCCTATCTACTATATCATACCACCCCTCAAGTCGATTGGAGAGCTTTCCTTTAGATAGGCCATTCATTTAATCTCTACAGCTCTGTTTATCCATCTGTGAAATGAAGGGGAAAAAAAACCACTCCTTCCAGTAGAATAATAGCAGCTGGTTATCCAGGTTGAAAATAATGAGAACCTCTTCTTTTTCCTCTCTTCCATCACATGTCTTTTGGTCATTTCTTAGCTCATTAGAATTCCCTCTCTCAACCACCCCATGGAGTGGTTAAGCTGAAGAAAATAAAATGAACCACAAACTACAGTTATCCCTTCCCCATCATGACTTTCCCCATTGCGATTTCCGTATATGGCAGATTGCCATAAGAAATTAAATGGGAATTTTGGGGGAGTTCTGCAGAAGCTGCTAGATGACACATGAAGGCCAGCAGATGACACAGAAAAAGTTTAGAAATGCAGAAATGCATAAAATGTATGTATAGTATTATACAATATCAATATATTTTATCTTTTAACCCCATAATAATTCAGAGTTATTGTATGACGTGAAGGGAGAGCCAAAAACTTTTACCTAGGTTTTCCAGATCGCCAAGGTGCCACACTCCTAGCCCCCATAATATGGAAGGTAAAACTGCAGTCTACTTCACTCTTTGGTAAAAGATGTGGCCAGAGGAGGAGAGAATGTAAATGTAGTGGAAAGGTTTGAGAGTGGGCATCCTATTATCCTAATGACCCCTTTCCTTTATGGCCACAGATAATTGAGACTGAACTTGGCTTTCCAGACATGTCTTGTGCCAACTTCTCATCATCCACCCTAGTAATGGTAGGATGGAGATTTCAGAGGAACTCTAGGAATTCCACAATGGAAGAACAGAATTTGGCTGCTTCCGTCGCCCTGAGGCTTCAGGTCAAGTGAGGGACAATTAGCAATGGCAATGAAGTAGCCAGCTGCTCACATCATGTTGGAAGCAAATCTGAGTTTTAAAAGTCTGATCTGTTTTGGACTATTTGCAAGAAGGAAAGAAATCTCATAAAGCAGAAAGCCCGTTGGAAGGCAGAATATTTTTCGCCTTGGTGGTACAAGCACAGGGTATGAAGGAGACTTGGATCCTCATCATATTGGCTTGCTTTGAGAGACTAGATAAGTTGTTTAACCTTTCAGTGTTTTCCTCCCTATCTAAACAATAGGAATAATGATCATAATCAAAAAGGATTTATTAAACGCCTATTTGCGTGGGCCACTGTACTAGGCAGTGTGTGAAGATAACCATTCCTAGCCTATCTAACCAGGATATTATAATAATCAACTAGATAATAGCAAAAGGTTTTAATGTCCTTGAAGAAGTGATACCACATAGTCAGAGGATTATGTACTGAAGGGGAAAAAAATCCAGCAGATTCATTACCTTTTAAAAGGTCACCCATGAGGTCTATTGGGTAGAAATCAGAGTTGCAGGCTTGATGCCTCTCCTAGTCAGATAGTTATCAGGTCAAAACCACACTCTATGGCCACAGACTCCTTCCTGCTTCTCAATCCTAGCCACATCCTATAAATCATGTAAAACGGCCATCATCAGGCATGTTGGGAGGGGTGGGGAGCAGCCAGGGGGTGAGTGGAGGAGGGCAGATCAGAAGGTCTGTACTGCCCAATACAAGCCCATCACTGTTAAAGGTAGAAACGATTCAGAATACACACTAGATAGAAGATGGGATTTTACAAGCAGAGCCTCATGCATCCTCAGAGGGAGGTCATTCTTGTCTAACTCCTTACCCCATGCAAAACTCCCTGCCATGGTAATGCCCTATGTTCAAACATTTCCAGTAATGTTTCATGAGGCAGCTCATTCTGCTTTGGAAGCATTTTAATTGTTAGAAGGTTCTTTCTGATGGTCCTCTGAGATCTCTCTCCCTGTTAATTTTCACTAATTGGAGACACAGAGGACAATTCTATTTTCTTTCCTGACTTTCAAATATCTATGTCTCTCACAAGTCTTCTCTTTTCTAGATTAAATATATCCAGCTCTTTTAACTGTTCCTTGTTAAAAAAAAAAAGTGAGAGGCAGAACATTACAGAGATCAGAGGCCTGCATTTGGTGTCAAAGGATTACAGGATTTAGGGTTAGTGCTGGAAGGGACCTTAGAAGCCATCTAGTCTAACCTCCTCATTTCACAGATGAGGAAACTGAGGTCCCAAGAGATTAAGTGGTTTGCCCAAAGTCACAGAGCAAGCAAGTGGCAGAGTTATCCCTGCTGTCTGCCACCTGAGCAATATTAGGCAAATTACTTAGGATTATACATTCATAGATTTAGAGGTGAGAAGATCTTAAAGGTCATATAGTCCACTCACCTCAGTTGTACAGACAGAAAAAATGAGGCCTGTGGAGAGCAAATGACTTGTCTAGGCACACACGGATAGCAAAAGGCAGAGATAGATTTGAATTCAGGTCCTGGGATTCTATGTTTAGCATTCCCAGTTTAGCACTCACACATTGAACGATGCTATTTCATTACCTCTCTCTGTCTCAGTTTCTTCACCTTTGAAGTGAAGGTGTAGGCTCCAACGACCTCTAAAGCCCCCTATCTGTAAACCTGTGATCCTCTGGTTTCCAGTTCCTTCATCACCCTGGGTTTCTAGGCATATTCCTGCCTGTCAGTGTTCTTAATATAATCAGGATCAATATTGATGTATAACAACAACCGCAGCTCAAATTGAATAGTGTTTTATGATGTATAAAGGAAGTACTTTCACATATATAATCTCATTTGATCCTTAAAACAATCCTGTGAATTAGGTTGGGTAATTCTTACAATTTTCATTTTATAAAATGAACACAGTTATGTTTTTGCTTTTAAAGGGTAATATTTTAAGAGGTAGAAAGCTCAAATATTAAAAGAAAATCTCCCTAAAATCAGAAAGTTTTTTGTTTGCTAGTGAAAACACCAAACCATAGAATCATAACTGATAAGACTGGCACCAAGGTCAAAAATCAGTTGAAGGGAATTGGCCAGAGACAAATCTTGAAATACCCTGTGGCTAGCTTGAACCACTATCTTTTTTTTTTTGGCAATTGGGGTTAAGTGACTTGCCCAGGGTCACACAGCTAGTAAGTGTTAAGTGTTTGGTCTGAGGTCAGATTTTAACTCAGGGCCTCCTGACTTCAGCGCCGGTACTGTATCCACTACGCCACCTAGCTGCCCCAAACCACTATCACTGAGGAGTCTGCTAGACTAGGGAGTGCACGAATAGTCTGCCCCTAGAAGTGTGCATTAATGGTAGCAGGAAAGAGTAAGCCATGAAGGTTGACAAATTGGGATGGCAGTTTGGGCAGGTGGAAAGCACACTCCCTACCTTTACGGTCTCCAAAATAGGGTAGGAGAGGCATGCTTCCTTCCCCCTCTAATCCTCTGGACCTTGAAGTCTTCTTCCTGCCCCATGATGCACAATGGGACCACCACAGAGAGGATGGATTAGCATCCTGGGGGAGGGAGAGGAAGGAAGTGCACCCCTCCTAGATATCAGTGCCCCAGGGCAAAGTCCTGCTTGCCTGATGCTTATTACAGTTCTGCCAACTCACTGTTTCTTCAGTTAACCTGCTTTTTCTCAAGGGATTTCTTTCGAATGTCTGCATTCTATTTATTTGTGGCAGCATTCTAGAGGAAGAAAGTATACCTTCCTAGATGCAGGTGGCCTGAAGCAAAGTCATGATTGCCAGACCCTGGTTGTAGCTCTGCCAGTCTACCAGTTCCTCAGTCAACCTTTCTCAAGGGATCCCTTTGGGATGTTTGCATTTTACTTACTTGTGTCTCTGGAAAATTGCCTTTAAACATATCTGAATTCTCTGATGAGCCATTTTCAAAGCTAAGATATGGTGAGAGAATTTATTTATTGGTGTTTCTGCCCCTCCTGGGATCAACCTCAAGAAAGACTTTGTTTAGTTCCTCTTTCCTTTGCACGGTTCTTGAAATCAGAACAAGAAGAGGAATACAGACTACCACTGACTTTTCTTAGGCAATCATAGGCAATGCTGATCTTGCTGACAGAACTGGATCTAATTGGTTTTGAGTGAAAAGTATAAGGATCTGAGGGCTTTGTGTCATAATAGGGTGCATGCCAAGCTTTCATGCAATCCTTCACTCTTACAGAGTGTTAACCTGAACCAGAGTTGAAATACTCTTCCTCATTTTACCTCCCCTTCTGAACAGCTGCCAACCAGCATACATCAAAGTGAGGAACTGTAAATGAGCCTCTTTCCTGCTAATAAGATTTTAATGAGATTCTTTGGTCAGGAACCTTCTACTATGAAATGGTAAAATGTTAGATTCTCAAATCCCTCCCCACCCCCACCCCCAACCAGACAACGATGTAGACCTTGGTCAGTTTTCTTCGATAAACTGGAGTTTAATAGGCAATGAAACAGAATCGGACAGAAGGATGTTGGTGATGGTGCTGGTGAAGATTTTTGATCAATGCTGAGTAAATTCAGCAATAGATATCCATGCTGACTTAACTATCATGCTTGTACTATCTCTTCCTGTACATGAAAACAGTGACTAATGGTGGGGGGAGGTCATTCTAGCTTTCTTTGTATAGGGCTAAGAATGGGGAGGAAGCATTTCACTTTTTCTGAGTCTATGAAATAGACTTGTGCCCCCCCCACGTTATTTTCTTTCTGTTCTCTTTCTTATGATGGAATGTGTTTGTCTGCGTGTATGTTGAGGGTAGAGTATTAGAAAAATGGACTGGACTTGGAAAGCAGAAG